ATTTTAATAAAAATAAAAATTGATACATAATCAATAAAATTGTATAATATCTATGCATCCCATTATATTAATAATAATAATACATTTCTTCAGATRTACTATTAAAAATATACAATTCCTATGTATTTATACATTATTTATAAATATTTTAACATTAAACTTAAAATTATTAATATAATTATTAAATTTATATATATTTCTTTAATGTATCCAAACATTTCCATATTTTTTGTCCATATCTATTAGGTTGCCAAATGTATTCATAGTTCAAATTGTCCAAATACTTTAATCCTTGTGCCCTGCCAGAAAGATATCCAAGCGTAAAATCATTATTCTCTGACATCGTGCTGTTTCAGTGTTTCTATCGTCACAATAGAAAAGAGTGATACTAAAATTCAATGGAGCTTTAAAGTTGATGCAGATATTAATTGGGTTGACATCATGGGATGTCGGTGATTCTTAATATAAGCAACGGTATGATGAGACCCAGTTGTCCGAGCGAGGATTGTTTTACTATTCGAGTGATGTTTCCGCTACATGTGTTTGTTGAATTTCCCAAAAGAGTTGACTATTTGTCCTGTCTAAACTTGGCTGGTGCGTGCCACGTTAAAATGAAAAATTGAAAACAAGTGGTAAGCAACTAAGCATCGGGTTTCCTAAGCTTTTACCATTTATCAGTCATGGGACGCTTTCCTTTGCTCGATGTAAGTAGATATAGCTAGCCTTTTATATGTCATAAAATAGCCTTTGAGATGATGTTCGAGACGGATTGTTCTTTTGGTGCCTAGCCAAAAAAGTCACTTTATTCTATGGGCGATCAGAAGTTTTCAGAAAAGAAGTTCTTTCTTCATGTGTAATAGTTGTTCGATGAGTTGTATGATTTAGAAATTGTTGTGAGTGAAAATGACAAAAGAAAAAAAAAAGTTGGGAAACAAACAAATACAGATACGTCTCTCTTTGACACTTGCCAACTCGATCATAGAAGCTATAAACTTGAGCTTCTCTCTTTCTCAAGTGTTCATCCGATTCTAGTCCTAATTCTCACATCTTCTTCTTCAAGACATACATTTTGTCTCTCAAGGAGTGCAACTCCACTTCATTAATGGCTCTGGTTTTTGCTCTTATTCTCAGTTGTTTTATAGGGTTAACACAAGGGCAACTAAGAGTTGGCTTCTACTCTCAGACATGCCCCAACGCTGAAGAAATCGTCAGTTCTGTGGTTCGAGAAGCCGTCGCTTCTGACCCCACCATGGCTGCCGCCTTGCTTAGGCTCCAATTCCATGATTGCTTTGTCGAGGTCTCTCTCTCATGTGCCTCTTCTCTTTTCGTTTGCCTATCTCTCTCACACACACATATGCTGGTTGATGCTTTTGTCAGGGGTGTGATGGGTCGATATTAATTGATAACGGTCAAGGTTCAGAGAGACAAGCATTTGGCCATCAAGGCGTTAGGGGCTACGAAGTAATAGATAGAGCGAAGGCCCAATTAGAAGCAGAGTGCCGCGGCGTGGTTTCTTGTGCAGACATTGTGGCCTTGGCCGCCCGAGACTCTATAGCCCTGGTACAACGCTTGTGATCTCTTTCTTTTCTATTCTTTCATTTGTTCTCCACAATTAAGATGATAATAATTGATAAGGGACTACTGTTAATTTGTTCGATGGTTCAGAGCAATGGGCCGTCCTATGATGTTCCGACCGGTCGCCGGGACGGCCGAGTATCCAATTCAACGCTTGCCGATAACATGCCGGACGTGAGTGACTCCATTGAGCAACTTAAAGCCAAATTCAGGCAGAAGGGGCTTTCACACAAAGACCTTGTGGTTCTCAGTGGTACATAACTAACTCTCTTACCTCCTCCATGCACAACCAGCTGGTTTTGCTTGGTGTACGTAGTTGAGTTTCTGGTTGATAGAAATTAATGACCCGTGCATGACACATGCTAAAGAAGCCACATAACTTGTTTCATGTCAAAACATGTGGCCTTAATACTCTGATGATGAGGCTCCAGAGCTGAAAGTAGACTCCATGAACGAAACAGCAGTCTGTCGTTGAACGTCTGGATCAATTAATTAACTACCCATATATATGTTTGTCATATTGGTATTATGATTGATAATGGTATGATTAATGCGATTGATTTGATTAATTTTCAGCTGCACATACCATTGGAACCACTGCATGTTTCTTTATGACAGATCGGCTCTACAACTTCTTCCCCGGCGGTGGCTCTGACCCGTCGATTAACCCTGATTTCCTTCCGGAGCTACAAGCTACGTGCCCCCAGAACGGAGAGAATAGTGTGCGGTTAGCGCTGGATCGCGGGAGTGAGCTAACATTCGACAACAGTATCCTCAGCAACATCAGAGATGGGTTCGCTGTATTAGAATCCGATGCCAAGCTCTATCAAGATGAAGCCACGAGCCGCGTAGTTGACTCCTATTTTGGCTTGCTGAGCTCCGTTCTGGGTCCATCTTTTGAGACCGATTTTGTTAATTCAATTGTGAAAATGGGCCAGATTGGTGTCAAGACTGGTTCTCGCGGAGAGATCAGGCGGTCCTGCAGGTCTTTCAATTGATGAAATTATATGGAATCATGCACCTTCTGGGTACCTAGTTAGTTCTTAGTACAACATACTGTATGTGTTATTGTCTCTGCAGATATATATAATAGAAATTTATATGTAGATGTAAAACTGCAATTTCACTTGTTGGAGCTTCTTGTATGCGAATTTTAAATGAGGAAGATAAATCACCATTGTCTGAACATCAATAATTAATATTGGTGGCTTGTTAATTATTCTGGTGCACAACAAATTGGTCATGGGGCGGCCATTAATGGCTGGAAATGCTGGGATTTAGTTACCAACTGGGTAGAGGGTACACGACAACCTCAACGTGTTTGGCTTTAGTGTTCAATTATCCAAAGTGAATTGTCTCATCGATCCAGTTGCATACAACATGCTTGACTACCTTCCACCTCTAATTAATTGATGCCACCAAGGAAATGGATAAGCACAAATATGATATTTCTAGTTCTAGTGGGGTCAAAGATGGTAAGGAGAACAGTTCTTATCAAAATAGAGAAGAGATTGTCATTAAAGAATTTGGACGATACAGAGAGAACCGGAAGTAGAGTATATATTTATTTCCTAAAAGTAGTGGTTCAACTTTTTTTTTGCCAAAATTCTACTTTATTACCCTGAGCTTTGGGGTAGTGTCTATCCGAATTTTTAAACGTGAATTCATTGAAGTGTGCAACTTAAAATTTAACTTTTAAACGTGAATTCATTGAAGTGCAAAATTCAGGTACTAACTTGAATCACTATTTAGGGAAAATTAGATGATAGATGAACAATGTTTAAAAGAAGACTTAGGTGGCGTTTGATTGCACTTTTAAGACGCCTGAATTTAAAAATGTTGCTTTTCAGATGCCATCTCAGTTTGGTGTTGCATCTGAAACATGATCTGAAATGTTTTTTTAGGTATGATCTGAAGTTTTAAGACTCGGGCCCGTCACTTAACGCATTCAGATGCATTTCAAGCGTGGCCTAATGTCAAAAATACCCCTTCCCATTCGACATCTCTCTCTCTCCCCTATCTTCTCGTCACCGCCGTTGCAACTTGCAGTAGCGGTTCAACAAGTAATAATATAATAATAATAATTATTATTAATTATAAATTATTTTTACTAATTATTAATTATTTTAATAATTTTATTAAACATTAAATATTTATATTAATTTTACTTCTGTACTTATTAATTATTAATTGTTTCTATTAACTAGTAATTTTTATTTATGTAAATTATTAATTAGTAATTATTAATTATTTTAATGTTTTTATAGTCATTAATTATTTTTTTAATTGCAAACATTTCATTTATTAATTATTAATTTATTATTTATTATTTGTATTGTTTCAATATTATTTTAAAGTTAAAAATTATTTTTATAAGATGATGCAAATTGAACTCAACATTTCCAAATAGTATGTTTTAAGGGTAAAATAATAAAATCAGTAAATTTCAGATGGTAAAGGGTTGATACAGAACAAATAAACTTATGGATTTAGAGTTTCTAAAAAGTAAATAAGCACATATGCTTACTTTCAGATTTCAAATACAAAAAATATCTTTTTAACTTTTCCGATTTGAAATTTCACTTTAATATATATATTGAATAAAGTTCAAGCTTGATACTACCTCCAAGATTCAAAATACTAAAGTGAAAATTTCTCTAATTAGTGGTTGAACTTTATTCACCTAATTCTGGGATTTTTGTAGGTTGGGGACCGCCGGGCGCCAGAGCATCATAATATTGAGGATTGAACCAGCACCCATTAATTTCTTTACTGCACTTTCACTTTCATTCAGTCTGTGATAGGTATCCCATTGACACAGACTGAATAGAAAGAAGTGCACGACAAGCCTAGCAAAAAAGTACTGCAGATGCGTACTATTAGCCATGGTTTTTGAACCACTAATGATTCGGACGGTTGGACTATTTGGCTCAAGAACCGTTTAAATAATTAGTTCTATTTTATTTTAAATTTAATTTTTGACAAAAAATCGTTGGATTGATTAACGAACTATTGACTTGAGTGATTGAACCCTCTATGCATTTGATATGTTTAACAGTTTTTGACTATTTTTAAGTTTTAATTTATTTTATCAAAATCAACTGTCCATTCAAACTGAATGATCTAACTGTTAACTCGAAAACCGATGGTCAGAACGTACGGTTCCGATTGCAAATCGTTTTTAAAAACATTGCTACCAGCTTACAAATTTGTTAGGTGTACTTCGTACAAATGCGTTACTTGCCACGAATCTGAAATAGTATTTGTGTCATTTCAAAAGAATGCTCCATCTGTTGGTACAATGGGTTCCACACGATACCTCACATGCATGGTTTTATCATAGTTGGAGAATCAAATCTCAATGAGGCCGACTCGTCGAGTCCAGCGAAAAAAAAAAGTCAATTTGCTAATTTACCTGATCAAGACTCGATCGGTTTGATTCTGATTGAGAGTCACTTAATTCAATTGATTTGTTAATGAGATACAAGCTCAAAACTTGAAATTTTGGAAAAAAAACAAAATAAGCAGTTATAACTGTGTGATATATGTCTCATAGACTTGTATCTCATTCAAATGTTTTTGCTTTGTTAGACAGAAAGTTTCTCATAGACTTTGACAAGTTTTCTAATTTTCATCAATGATCATATATTATATGGAAATTCATATGAAACGAAGTCGAGTAACAAAATCATGGGTTTAATAAGATGGATATATAAAAGGAATATGCCAAAAGAATAATGTTAATTAATTTTTTCTTTTGCCACTGCTTGTTAATATGCATCAATCATAGATAGGGGTCCGGATGTATAGTAGGCACGTTAGGTAAGCATAATGAGTGAGTAAGTAATAGCTGTGTGATATATGTCTCGATTAATGTGCTTTTCATTCAAATGTTTTTGCTTTGTTAGACAGAAAGTATCCATTATTTTATTATTTTTATCAAAATAATTAAAAATAAAAAATAATGAAAAAGAAAACGTAAATGAGTCCCAATTTTTAATATGTTTAAGTTTTCCTTTTTTATTGTTTTTATTAGGGCTGTTCATAACAAGACTTAAACCGACTAAACCGATCAACCCGGTCCGGTCCAATCCGAGTTGGCTGGTTTTTCTTTAGCATTGGTCGGTTTCGGGTTACAAAAAAACATAAACCGATGGTTCGGTTCGGTTTTGGTTTTCATGTGTGAAAACCAAAATCGAACTGACGCAAACCGACTTAGATATATATTATAATATAATATATTTCAGATATTATATATATATATATATATATTTCAAATATATATTTGTTGAACAGCTTTATTTCAGAAATATACATATTATATATAAAATTTCTGATATATAAAATATCAGTTTTAATCCATCAAATCATTTTTAATTTTTAGGCATCTAACCTTTGTTTTTTTAGACTTGAATCCTTTACTGTTCATACCGAGAGAATCATTCACAAAACCGACCCAAACTGACCCAACCCGATTCAAACCGACCAGCTTGGTTTTACTTAGTACTGGGTTGGTTTCGGTTTCATTTGTAGGTAAACCGACCAGGTCGAGTCGGTTGGAAAAATGCCAGTAAACCGACCCAACCCGACCCGTGAACAGTCCTAGTTTTTATTTTTAATTATTTTGACAAAGATAATAAAATAATAGATAGTTTCTATCTAATGGAACAAAAACGTTTGGATGAAAGGCACATTAACTGGGACATGTGTCACAGAGCTATTACGTGTTCACTCATTATACTTACTTAACGTGCCCATTACATCCGAACCCCGTAGATACATGCAAAAGCAATGGCTGGAATATCTCTATGACTTTATGCCTATTATGATGCATATTTAATTCCTGAAATAATTTTATTCATGACAATTTTCTTTAGGCTGAGTTTGGTCTTAAAGGTAAATCAGAATTTGCATTTCACGCATGTATTATGGTGCAAATGAAACACAGCCTTAAAAAGAATTTCTTCATATCCGAAAAACATGGTATCATAAGATATTTGACCAATTAAAGCATCCCATGAATTTGATGAATACCATTTGTTTTGGCACCTTGTTTATGATATATTGGTTGATTGATTATAAGGGTCCATTTGGTTTATAGTTGGAATTGGAATTGAAATCAAAATTATCTATTCTTATAGTCTATTTGGTTTAGATAGGAATGAGAATGGGAATTGAAATCAGTAGGGATATGGGTTTTCATTTCCAAGGGAGGGGCAGGGAATAGCCATTCCCTCAAATAGAGGAATGTCATTCCAGTAAAAATGAGAATCATATTTCGATTCTGTCCAACCAAACAGTTGGAATCAGAATAATCCATTCTGATTCCAATTTCAAACCCCTATTCCCACAAACCAAATGGGGCCTAAGATTATTCGATATGAAGTCTTTCCGGTATCATGACAAGTTGAACCCATTAATGGGCCATAAGAATATCTTTGGTAAAACTTAATTTGTATTATTTCCTATGGTCATCTTGAATGGACATGCAAGGTCAAATATTACAAATCTTGGAGTCACAAACAAGATCAATACACTCCCCAAATAATAGATTTGATGGGTGGTGGATAAAAAAACAGCCAACTATATTTAGTTATTGTGTGTTTTAGAGGCCATTTTATATATAACTGCTGAAGCTCTGAATTGAAAAACTTATTAATTTGTCTTTTGGTGAATAAAATTATTAAAATAATTAAAAAATCAAAGGTATAATAATCTATCTAACTTCAGCTTCAGCCATTAAGGAGCCCACAACCTCTTAAAAACATATTCTCTAAAAGACAAAGCAATAAACTTTTGCCACTTCAGCTGTTAGCTAATGGCCCTTAAGTGGTGAATCATTAAAGCCGGCCTATTTATACATTTTCTACACTTTTAAGTCTTAATTAGCATTTTGGGATATCAGCTAGAGTAGAATTAATTCATTATAATTATTTTGTGTGGTGATTATTTTTATAGCTATTGTATGGTGAAGATACTTTCTGGGTCCATTTATTATGGGAAGATGAAAAATAAGATTGGCAAGTCATAATATTTGATTTGTATCGGAACCTGTATTATGCGTGGGGTATGGGATGCATAAAGGATGATAAGGAAGCAATATGATTATATCAACATCAACATTGAAGAACATGTATATTGGAACTTGTATTTCATTTATTTTGTTGGAAGAACATGTATATGGGT